GTTCTCACATTTCCGCTTGTATTACGCACGCATTTCCGATCATTTGATATATTCACGTGTAAAAAAAATAGGTATACCTACATCTTTCGGCAGGTCTTTTCATTTTAGAGTCAGTAGTTGTCCCAGCTTCAGGCTTTTAGCAAATTCAGGTGTAATAGGAAACTTGCATGAATTTTTTTCAATTTTATGATTTCAAGTTTAGGACCTGAATAATTAATATTCCATTCACAAACGTTTGAAATATTGCTCATTAATAATTAATTAATCATTAATAATTAATACTAAATTGTTAATAGTTGAACATTTCAAACGCTTTGAAATCGCTAGTGACGTCACACAGACGGTCGAGCGCTGGAGCAATCACAGAATGGCTAGAGCCAACCTAACCCAATCTTAGTGTGCACTTTGGCCAATGGAGGACAACTCCCCACTCTCTTCTTTTTCGACCAATGAAGCGTTACCTGACCGTTTTCTTGACGTCATCACCGAAAAATTGGCCTCGAAAACGACTCAATTTCAATTAATTATCATAAGACATATAGGCAATAGTTTTCCATAATTTTCGCCGTTTAGTTATTAGAGATGCGAGCAAATTTCATGACATGTCAGATGACGGTCATGTGACCGTCACTGACACGTCACATTACTGATCCACGAATGATCAATTACTGTCACATGACAAAAATGTGACCGACTTTCGTTATGATGATCATATCGCGCTAAGTGGTCGAGTCATTTCAGACATGGAATTTTTTTTTTCTGATTTTATCTGAAAGTTGGAGAAACTGTAACCGGATGTCACCCCGAAGTAGTTAATGAACTACGAAATGGGTAATGAACTGCTGATGGACAATCGTGACGAAACATGGCAAAACATGACAAAATTTTATGACACGGAAAAAAATGACCGCCATGTCAGATAATTTCTCAATGATAAAATTTTATCTGACCGTTTTATTGATAAGAGAAGACATGACTGTCAATGACGGTCATATTTTTGTGACCTGACGGTTTTGCATTCGTGACGTCACCTTGCATCTCTATTGGCTATCCATATCTTACGAGGAATGTGTAAATAGGGGAATTAGATAGAATTGAGCTCCATGCAAGTTCCCTATTCATCTTTTTTCATAGTTCGAATAAATCTGATCATTAATGATGATATTTATGAGAATCTTACATTATTTTTCCGAAGCGTGTCTACTTCAGTGAATGAAATAAATATTTCCTCTAGATTCATAAATGAAAAAGCCTGTAGAACGATTCTGCGGAATCGCTGTAGAAAAGTGTAGAAAATCTGTCCGTAGACATATTTCTCTGGAATTTTTTCTGCGTATTCCATTCAACTTATCATGTTTAACCACTAAACTCCGAAATTTCGATTATAATAGATTACAAAAAAATCTGATCTAGAGGTATATGTATGATGTGTAGGTGTTGTCTTAATGTGATTATTTTTTTTTTCATTTAAAAAATGCAAATAGAAAATGAATTGAAGTCGATACTTAATGCAATTGCAGCACGAAGCACCTCATTCGTTTCTTTTAATCGTTGAAGAAAGAAGCGGTTGGCGATAAAAAGCATTATTTTAACGATTATGACGTAAAAATTCGTTAATTTAAAACATTCACATCAACGATAATTAATTAATTAATTAATAAACGTTGTGAGAAAGAATCATTAATTATATTAGTAATTGTATATAAAATTGTCATTCAATAATTATTTCCTTCGCTTCAGCCAGTCCCTCGTGCTGGGTTATATCCATATACAATCTATTCATTTTGTTTATTGAAATTCACATTGTCTATAATTTGTTTTTATAATTCACCGATTGAATAATCACATCACCTGCGACATGCAGGTTTCTACTTTTCTTGTCCATTTTCTTTAATTATTTATGTTTTCTTCTCTTTTAAACCTAATGACATCGATGGACGCAATATGCTCGACGTTTTCATTCTGCAATGCGATAAATTGAGAAGAAAACGTCATCTTAATTTTTCCATTTCAACATTATATTACGCTATAACTACTCAGAGATAAAAACAATTTCCCTTTATAATTATCTTCTAATCTATACGTAAAAAGAATTCGCAGATTAAACCGAGGGAAAAAATACTTGCGGTTCATCTTAATCTACGAAATATTCAGTAGTGAAGTGGTAAAACGGTTTAAGTAGCATGAGGAATTTTTACTCGGTGATTATGCATCTTAGTTGTGAAGTGGTGAAACGAGATACTTGAACGTCACTTGAAAATTGATGAGTCTGTTGTGAATATCTTTCGAATTAAGGAAGATAGGCGGATTTTCGTAAAGATTTTCGTCATCCGAATGGAGTCAATGAAAATTTTGATATCCCTCTCAGATATTTTATGGAAATTCATAGATTCTGGAATGAATTTGACTCGTCTCATTCATTTAATCATATACGAAAAAATTTCATAGAAAAACCTGAGTATATTTTTCTCGTATATACTGTTAGATTTTCTCCAGTTCAGGGGATATCAACATGAAACAGCGGGGCAAAATGAAACAGCCGAAAAACGACAGTTTGACGCAATTCAAGCAAAAACAATTTTTTTTATTAAATATTTTTTTATCAACTTTTGTTTATTAATTTTTTTTATTCCTGGAAGTACCAATGAGAATAATAATTTCTCATTTCGAAGAATGGAAAATTATTGATAAGTTTTGAAGGGAGAAGATTTTGTCAATGGATTAATTGAAAAGAAAACGAAACAGCAGAATTCAAAGTCTAGAGCAAAGCCTAGGGGGAGACACAGAGAGGGAAGAAGGAAAATGTGATGCTGAATTTCAATCGAATGAAGAAAGAAAAGTGTAATCGGCCTAATCTAATCAATTCAATTATAATCAAATAATTGAATTATCAGACGAATTTAATATTGAATTATAAGATGAATAGCAAATTATCATTCTCATCAGTACTCCCAACAATAACAAAAAGTTGATAAACAAAAGTTGATAAAAAAATGTTTTTTTGTTTGAATTGCTTCAAATAGTTATTTTCATCACAAGGTCCACAAAGTATTTTCTGACGAATGTGGCTTTGTAGGCCTATAATCACATTCGTCAGAAAATACTTTTAGACCGTGTGATGAATGCAATTTTTCGTCAGAAGGCCCGTAAACCGCGATCAAACCGAGCGAAGCGAGGTTAGAATCGCGGTTTACCGGATCTTCTCACAAAATAGTCGTTTTTCGGCTGTTTCATTTTTCCCCACTCTCCCCTATTATATTAAACAAATCTACAGCTGCCTATCTATTTTACAGAAAAAGTCAATAAAACGTAATTTTTCTATCGAACCTATGTTATTGATATATTTCCTATGAACATTCATCGACCTAAATTTTCAAAAATTTTTTGTTCATTTTTTTAGAGTGTAAAAACATAGAAAATTCACATCGGAAAAATTCTACACAAAATATCTCAATAGAATAGTTTGTTGAAAAGATCAAATTCTATGGATTTTTTTCTATAAAATAGTACGTTGGCGAAAAAGTAACAGAATTTCTCCCAAAAATCCAATGGAATTCTCTAACGGATGCCCTAGCTTTTTCCATGGAATTTTTTTGTGTGTGATTTAATATTGATTTACCTTAAAAAAAACTAGTGATTTTTTAGGGGAATATCCAACATTTTTTGAAAATAAGAAAAATTTTCATTGAAAAAGTCTTTAAATCCTTCCCACAACATTGAAGAACTCTTGAAAATGTTCAGTAAAATCAATGATTTCCGCGATCGTAATAGCTAGGTTTTCAACATTATTTTGTTGTGTGATTCAATATTGATTTACTTAAAAAAATAGTGCTTTTGGAGGCAAATATCCAAAAGATTTTGGAAATAAGAAAAATTTTCATTGAAAACCTCTTGAAAGTTTTCCGTAAACACAATGATTACTGAGATCCGTCCATAATAGCTAGTGTTTTCTATGCAATTTTTTTGCGAGTTAGTTAATATTGATTTACCCAAAAAGCTAGTGATTTTGGAGGAAAGTATCCAAAATCTTTTGAAAATGAGAAAAATTTTCATCGGAAAAGTCTGAAAATTTTCCGTAAAATCAATGATTACCGAGATCAATCCACAATTGCACACATAGAAAGCGTCGACTCGAGTGGAAAATGGCATCTTCGTTCTTATGTAGTTATCTAAAAAATGAATGGTTTTAGACGAAAACATCACAAGGGGATGGAGGTTCATGGAGGTAGCGAATTCCTCTACAAAAAAAGTCTTATGATGATTCCTATCCAGATCAATCATTGGCGAAAGGATGCCAAAACTACAAATATGTAATTACGCGTAGAAAAAAATTCAACAGAAAAACTTAGCGATTTCGCTAGAAAATTCTATTGAAATTCTTTTAAAATTCTAGGGAATTCTCGTTAAAATTTTATTTGTTTTTTACGTTCATTCCATGAGATATCTGACAGAAAAAAGTCAATAGATTTCGATTTTTCTCTATGAATATTCGCTTGGATTTTTTTCTATAAGAATACTTGAGCATGAATTTTCCAAGTTTTTTTCATTCAGATCCTATAATGCAAAACAAAACAACATATAGCGGAAAAAATTTTGACAATCCGTGTCCAATAATTCACGTTTTCCTTCTCTTGAAAGCTGTATAAATGGTATGAATGCATCAAAAAGTACAAATAACATGAAGTATCGCCGTAGTTCACATTGGAAGAGAAATAAAATGATTTGCGAGCTCCATGAGACTTAAAAATGGATGTGAGCGACAAGCATTCATATGAATTTTGAGATACCCTTGTTTTAAAAAGAAAATTGAAATACCCTTGTTTTATTAGGAGATGTCGAATTTTGATGGAAAAAATCGAGAGAAAAATTTAAACAGAAAAATCAAAATCTATTGCTTTTTTTTTATCAAAAAATATCTAATAGAATCTGCAGAAAAAACAAACAGAATTTGAACGAGAATTCCCTAGAATTTTAATAGAATCCCCATAGAATTTCTAGAGAACTCCACTAGAATTTTCTAGCGAATTCGTTAACGTTTTCTATTGAATTTTTTCATGCGTGCATTGCCAGAAGGAAAATGGTGAAAGATCAGAGATAAAATCGTTTTACAACTTCCTCACTAAATTTGGTTGTTTAGTCTTCCTTACATACTCGTTAACAATGCAAATGAATGGCAATTCGCTAGATTGCTGTGGAATCTAAACGATCTAAATTGTTAAATTGCTTCTGACGTTCCATCACAGGTTATTCGGCGTCTATCCTGAACTACAGACTAGAAAGAATTGTTCATCTTCTCTTGGTTCAGAGGTCCACGGAACAATTCTTGATCGTTTTTAATTCATTATGAGACTTTATTTTTTCGTGTCGTCTTGGAGCAGTTCCGTGGAGCCCTTGCGGCAGTGCTGCTGAGCGAGCAGCTTTCCCCGCATCAGCACCGTTTTAAGGATACTCGACGTACGCCTCCCCGCGACATCTGGCCGCGGGACATTTCGCTACGCTCCTTTGTGCTTTTTTCGCTGTTCACGTCTGCCACCGGCACTGGTGCTTGGGGATGATGATGTACCACCCCGTTCGCAGTCAGCTGTTGGCATAGGCTTTAATTCCCTGGGGAAGAAAACATTATTTTAGAGTTGAAATATTGCTCTGGGGAGAAGAATCGTGAAATAATCTCGTAGCAAGGGCAATCCACTTCCTTCCACTGTTTTTATGGGAATTATTCAAAAGTGACCATTGAGAGTGAAAACGCCAGCTTCAGTTTTCATTATTCTTGAACTAGAATACAATATTCTGTGACTGTTATTGGTTTTTATGTTTAGTTTAGATATAGTTTAGTTTATTGCTTTTGAGACTACCCTCATAGCAAAGGGGGACAGATGAATATAAAATATACATATAAACATCACAGAAGTTCTAGCAAGTATCATGTACAAAATATGAAAGTTTCAATAGATTAATAGTATATTTCGTCATCAGGCCGAAATAGTACATGCACGAGCCTTGGAAAACAGATCACCGTCTCCCACGTGCAAGATTGCCTTCCGAGCCGAAGGCGAAGATGGCAAGCACGTGGGGGAGGGTGATATGTTTTCCATGGCGAGGTGTGTATATTAATTTTTATCACGCTTTGCGAAAATGTAACTTTTTAGGCACGCGAAGCGTGCCTAAAACGTCCCTTTTCCACACATTGTGATGAAAAATATCGTTCGATACTCGTGGGAAAAGTGCAGGGGGTTTTTCAGGTCCCGTGACGCGAAATAGTACATTACATGCCCGAGTCTTGGAAAACAGATAACCGTCCCCCACGTGCAAGACTGCCTTCCGAGCCGAAGGCGAGGATGGCAAGCACGTGGGGGAGGGTGATATGTTTTCCATGGCGAGGTGTGTATATTAATTTTTATCACGCTTTGCGAAAATGTAACTTTTTAGGCACGCGAAGCGTGCCTAAAACGTCCCTTTTCCACACATTGTGATGAAAAATATCGTTCGATACTCGTGGGAAAAGTGCAGGGGGTTTTTCAGGTCCCGTGACGCGAAATAGTACATTACATGCCCGAGTCTTGGAAAACAGATAACCGTCCCCCACGTGCAAGACTGCCTTCCGAGCCGAAGGCGAGGATGGCAAGCACGTGGGGGAGGGTGATATGTTTTCCATGGCGAGTCGTGTATATTAATTTTCGTGTCGAGGGACCTGCAAAACGCCAATTTTGTGGCGCGCAGTAAAAAATTTTCTGGCAAATATGAATTGCAGCCTAAGCCGAAGGCGAGGGTTGCAATCATATGAGCTAGAAAAGTTTTTTAGGCCGTAAGACGAACAATATTTCTTGTCATAACGGCCGTAGGCCGTTAAAACTCTCTTACGACGGAATGACAAAAATTTAATTACAGCCGTCTGCTGTATTCATAAGTAACATTTGATTTCAACCGATATCGAGTATTTCTGCCCTTATTGATTCTTATGTGATTCATCGTTTTCCGGAAAAATTCAGAGTGGCCAAAATTCACCGAGAAAAAACTTTTTAACGCTCATTGGCAACGAAAATCACGGAAATTCCGAACTCTAATGTCCTGACATCTAGCGAGCGAAGAATCTCCGAAATGAGTGAAATTTTCAGTTGTTTTAAGAATATTTTGGCCTAAAAATCATAATAAAGAGATCTAATTACAATTTTTACTTAATACTCCATTGGTTGCGCTATGAGCGCCGCGCCGCACTTTTTTCGAATTTTGAACTCTCGATTGTTCGCGTTCGGCCGCCAGCCTTCATCCGTCGCACGATTAGCGCAGCGCCGCTGGGTTAAATCGAGCGCGCTGTTGCCACCTTAGCGCTTACCGCTATGCGCGCATTTTAAATGGGACAGTGAATGTAGCAACATTGCCGCTCGAGGGGTCAACAGGGACTCACTCGCACCGAGCGGCGCGGCGCCGCTTTTCTATCCGTTCGACGTTTCATTTTCTTTTTTTAGCAAAATAATTTACCCGAGAAAAAACGCCAACGTCAACGCTTAATAAAAGGATTGAACTATGAACTCTAATTTTTTCGAAAACGAAAACGGGTGGCGCCATGCTCATTGATCGAATGATCGTGAGTTAAATTACACTGTAGTAAAGCCTCAGAAAAATTTGAAAAAATTTGACATCTCATTTTGAAGTATCTAGGAGCCCTGTCAATGAAAATATCCGTCAAAAATATCATAAGTAGTTAAATTTTCAAATTTTTAACTTCCCGACCCGAAGGGAGGAAGTTATTGTAATGACCCCGAAAATCGAATGTGGAAATTTAAGCATTTCTCCACGTTTCATGACCTTTGGAACCACTTCTGACCCTTTTCAGGTACCTGTCTGTATGTGTGGATGTGTGTATGTGTGTGCGTACGTCTGTGACAAAAATTTTGTGCCACGATTCCTCCTGAACAAACGATGCGATTTGACTTTTTTTTTTAATCGCTGTATTTTCATGTGACTTGAACCTGATTAGATTATGGAGACGATCGTCTCAGCGTTTCTCCAGTTTTTTCCAAAAAACATTTGGAAAAAAGTCGAAAATTAGCGTTTTTTTGTAAACGAGACCATTTCTCCGTGCATAACGATGCGATTTCAAGTTTTTTTTGTTAGAAACGATGAATCTTGATATAACGCACAAATCATGGAATACTGGAAGACATTTAATCAGCAGTTCACTAGCTTTTTTCGAAATCGATATACATTCAAGAAACAATTTTACTTTTCTGATAAATTACATCTTTTCTCGATGCGGAATATGGCGATGTGTGTGCATGGGAGTGTGTGTGAGTGCGAGCACGCGCACGGATTTTCTTGTCTTCTATGGGTATTTCCTCGGAGAAATGTGAGAAAAAGATTGAATAAATACATAATAAAAAAATTAATGAAAGAAAAAACAAATGGTCGGGAAGTTATTGGTGCGACCCGTAATGGGTCACATCCAATTCCATCAACCCCTACCGGTCATACCCTAAAGAGGGAGCGCGCGAAGCGCGCGACCGGGCCTGATTTTTATTCCACAACTCCGCGCGGAAACTTGTGACAACTTTGAGCTTGAATATGTAATTAAGGGTAGCACCGAACATAAAAAATCTCAGGAGGTTTCTTCAAGTATATGATCTAGATCACTGTTGATTTTTTCAGATTTTTCCTAAATCTTTCCAATTTATCATTATATTGATTTATGTTGGTGCGGCGCGGCACTTACGGTGCGACCATTGGCGTTCGTAACTTTTGCACGACCAACGGAGTGTTAAATCTAGTATAATTGTACTGAAATTACGGCATACTTTTTCTTATGTGAAGAAACTGTTAGTTTTGGAATTCAGAACTTTTGACTTCCTAAAATAAAAACCCCGAATGCACGGAGAGAAATATTCAATAAAAATTACGTATCTTTTCCGTAATTCCGGAGCGCAATGTGGTTGTGGAAATTTTACGGAACTGTCACGGAATTTTACCTAAAATCAGGGAATTTTTTCAGAGCGTTCCGTAATATTTACCTAAATCTCTTGCGAAAAATTACAATACCGTCACTTAAATTTTCTGAGTCGATTCCGTAATCGGTGAATGAACTGTGAGTTCCGTAATTTTTACTGAACATTGCTCTCCGTGTGGGACGGAAAAAATTATTTGGTGAATTTTACCAACTAGTTGGTGAATTTCAACAAGTAATTGATGAATTTCAACAACTAGTTATTGAAATTCATCAAATAATTTTCTCCGTGTGAAGAACTCAAATTGGTTCGTAAATTAAGAACATTCTTATACTTGAATTCATGATTTTTCTTTTTATAAAATTATTCAAATTTGGAAAAATGAAATACTGAAAGAATCCGACTGCGAAATGAGAATCGAAGAGTGAAAACTCGAGGAGAAGAATCAACTCCGATAGTTTAACCCTCTTTGAACCCTCGTTAAATCACTCTTCTCCGTCCTGTGTTTATTTTTCATTAATTATTCACAAGAATATTCGACTCATTCGAGGGAATGAAAGGCTGGAAAAATGCAAATGAGAAAGAGAAAATAAAATGAAGTCATTAACCAACGTTAATAATTCAACTTCTGAATTACCCTTTGAACTCAACTAAATCGTTCCGTTTCCTCCCACGTACGAAAAAACGAATGGGCCGAGCTTGGCCCAAGCCCGGTGGCCGGCCTACCGAACTTCGGGACCCGTTCCTCAACCGGGACCGCGCCAGACTTGGTTGAAACCTGGAATGATAACATCGGGCCAGGTCTGGGCGCCCATCTCGGCCCAGCGTTGATTGCCAGTCGTTGGCCAGGCTCAATTAAATATTACTTAATTACATGAATATGATAATATGGGTGATTGAAATACAAGTAATTTAATATTACTCCTCAGCATTCGTAATAGGTTCAACGAGGAAAAAAAATC